GTCTTTTTCCTCAGGATTTAGAGAGAATTATAAAATCGTCTGACCACAACTCAGCAGTACAGGCATTGTTATATAGTGGCAGAAATATATGCATATTGTCTTTACACTTAAAAGATATCACATATATTTCTTACTGTCACACTCTAATATCACTGCTTTGTTGTTTTATATAAGTTCTTTACCTACTTAGCAAAATAACATTACCTCTTTAAATAACCTAGCACGCATCCAATCCGTATGATTCACCATTTTCATCATCATCATCATCATCATTATCATTACAGCCTTTCACAAGTCCACAGCTGAACATAGGCCCCCCAAAGGATATCACAAAGCACGGTTCTGAGCCACTTGCATCCATCGAATTGTCTTATCATGAATGTCTTATCAGGACGTCACTTTATCTAGTGGAAAGGTCGCCCTACACTCCGCCTACCGGTACAAGTTTGCCTCTCGACAACCTTTTTTTTTCCTGTTGGTTGGTGGTTCTTCGAGGTATAGGGCCTGCTCATTGCCACTTTAACTTACTAATCCGGTTACTAATCCGGTGGTTCTACTGCGAATATCCTCATTTATAAGTTTATCACGCAGAGGAGCCCCGAACAGAGCCCTCTCTATAGCTTTCTGAGCGACCTTAATCTTCCTCATACGGCCAGCAGTGAAAAACAACGTCTCAGATCCCTAAGACATCACTACAGCAACGCGCACTGGTTCTACAATCTACTTTGCAAGTTTTGAGGTATACCCGATGATGTGTTGTAATTATCCAAACGCTGCTCAGCCGATTTGAATCCATCTATTGATTTCTCGGTCAAAATTGGATTTACCTAGTCGGACTTGTCTCAGGTAAATATATTCGTTGACAACTTTGAGATATTTCAGAAATCAGAAATCAGAAATTTTTTATTTGCTTTAAACATGGTAGTGCAAAGATGTTAACATAACGGTACGTCCTCATGTTTGACTTAATATTGTCATGCAAATTTAAAAGTAGTTACATTTTAGTCTACTTAGAGCTAAAAATAAGTTAACATACTAAACAGAAAACTAATGGTAAACATGAGTCACAGACAGAGCATTACATGTCATCATTTATAAACTGTATAATATTTTATGTTAAATTATTCAAGTCATAAAATAAAGTAAACACAGAGAAGCTACATATACAGTTAAAATTTAAAAACCTCTTGGTCATCTAAGTATTCCTGGACTGAATAAAAGCACCTAGTGAAAAGCCAGGAATGTAACTTTCTTTTAAAACATGGTAACGGCAGAGCTTTGAAACTTGGATGAAGCTTATTATAAATTTTAATAGCCATACAATAACAGCTTCGTCTGTATAGTTGAAGTCTTATTCTAGGTTGCACGATCCTTTCTCCCTGTCTCGTAGGTTTATTTTTTTTGTTTTGCTCTCTAGTGACAAAATAGTGAGAATGTTGTCGTACAAAAATACACATTTGTTTAATATACAGGCACGGTAGCGGTAGAATTCCAAGTTTATTGAAAAGGGGTTTACAGCTTTCAAGAAAATGTACTCTGCAAATAGCCCTAATACATTTCTTTTGGGCTATGAAAGCCCGGTTTACATCCGCTGAAGCTCCCCACAATATAATTCCGTAACTTAATAGTGATGACACATAGCCATGGTAGGCCGATAGAGCAGTTTCAATGGTTGATACATTACTGAGTCGTCGTAGCGCGTATACAAATTTATTTATTTTTGTACATAGATTGTCTATATGTGCTTTCCAGTCACAAAATTTATCTAAAGTAAATCCAAGAAATTTAGCTTCATTAACAATTTCAACAATATTACCGCAATAATCGACTAGTACATCCATTGACCTTGCTCTATAAGTAGTAAACTGGATTCCCTTTGTTTTTTGTATGTTTATTTTGAGATTGTTTGAATGTAGCCAATTGATTAGGTTGTGTAAAGTCTTGTTAATGATAATAATGGATTTTTCTATTTCGTCACATTTTATTACTACGGTAGTGTCGTCTGCAAACATGTAACATTTATGTTGAGTTGCATTTGGTAAGTCGTTAATAAATATCAAAAACAACAGGGGCCCCAATATACTGCCCTGGGGAACTCCACATGGGTTGACACGATACTTTGACCGGAAAGTACACTGTCTGGATTCAACAACTGCTGCTATCTCAATACATTGCTGTCTATTATACAAATAACTTTCCAACCAGTCGTGAGCGTTACCTCTAATACCATATCGATAGAGTTTATCCAGTAATCTTTTATGTGGAACAAAGTCAAAAGCTTTGGTCATGTCTAGAAATAAAGCAATAACTGGTATCTTTTGATTAATACATTCAGTGACATAATGTATCAGATTGTAGCAAGCCAACGTAGTAGAGTGACCTTTGCGAAAACCATACTGTTCTTCTCTCAGTATATTATTTGATGTAATAAAGCTATCAATGCGCTTGAAGATTACTTTTTCATATATTTTAGATAGTATTGGAATAAGAGTTATCGGTCTATAGTTATTCATATCACATTTATCGCCCTTCTTGTATATTGGCTTAACAATACATAACTTAAGGATATCGGGGAATGATCCCTGTTCCATTGACAAATTAATTACATAAGTAAGAGGTCGACTTAAATCCCTCGCACATGCCTTTAGTACACGTGTATTTATGCCATCATGTCCAACTGCATTGCTGTTTTTAAGCGATAAAATAATAGTAGCTATTTCCATTTCATTAGTTGGGGTTAGGAATATTGAATTTTTATCGAATGGAATGTTAATTTTAACAGAATTTAAATCGTCATGTACTAGGTTCGTCATATCTATAAAATAGTTATTAAAAAATTCACATATTACATTAGGATTACTATATTTTATGTCATTTATACTTATCATGTCAATAGCATTATATTCTTTATCGTTATTTAAATTATCATTGATAATATTCCATGTCGCTTTACATTTATTAGAAGCATTATTTATAACTCTTTGGTTTTGTAATTTTTGAGCCCTATAAATGCACTTTTTGAGAATTTTATTGTATTTTTTGTATGCGTATTTTTTAGATATTCTAGAAATTTTATTGCTTCTTGTATATTGAATATACAGACGCCGCTTATTTTTACACGCAAGTCTAATGCCTTTACTAAGCCATTTCTGGTATCTGAATTTATTACTGATCTTAATAAGCTTTATTGGAAAACAGAGTTTATTAAATAGATCAATCACGTTATGCAATTCGTTGAAAGCTTCATTAGCATTTTTATTATTATATACTTCTGAAAATGATAGCGCAGACATACAGTTTCTAAACTTGATCAAGTTTTCTTCACTGTAATCAATTGTCTGTTTAGTATACTCCTTTTTAATCAACTTCATTTTAAATGATATAGTTTGGGCTGATTCATGGTCAGATAGGCAAACAAGATGTGTGCCTGATTTGACCCTATACACGTTACTGGCGATCTGGTCAAGACATGCCTTTCCACGAGTTGCAGTATTTATGTGCATTTTTAAGTTAAAGTTTTTTAAAATATCATTTAAGAGTTTAGTTTGTTTTTGTCGAGTTGGTTTTAATATGTCTATATTCCAATCGCCAGTCAGAACTATTTTATGTTTGGGTTTACTTTTAAGTAAGTTATGCAAAAGTTCTTGGAGCTTGATAAAAAACAGATTTACGTCAGAGTCCGGTGTCCGATAAATGTTAACAACTACCAATTTGTACTTAGGTATTTCTGCACCGCAGCATTCAAAGCTCTTAGACAGTGATAATTCTCTGCAAATGTTGAGTATTCTTGAGTTAAAGTGGTTTTTGACTAAGATGAATGAACCACCCCTTTTTTCGCAATTTCGTGAATAGTAAGCAGCTAATTTGTAATTAGGTATTTTAAGATTTACTTCGTCGCCGCTTTGAATAAACGTTTCACTCAAGCATAACACTTGTATGTCCAACTTTTTATCCTTGAATTCTTCCAGTGCAGCTTTTAAATAATCTGATTTATTTAGAAGTCCGGCAATATTTTGATGCATTATTGTAAAGTTGTTATGGGCGAAAAAAGTCTTCCCTATTCAAGTCATTGTGGTTAGGGTGAATTTTCTGTGGTGTTATATGGGGGTCGTTTGTTTCTTTTGTTTCATGGTTGTGTGATGTCTCAGGATGCAAACAAAGTGTCTCATTAGGTATGTTATTGAAAGTCGCATTAGGCAAGGGATTGTTGGCATTTTCATTTTGAAAATGTGTCTTAATTCCTTTTTTTAAATTAATGAATTCATTCTTATATTTTATGTAATCAATTTCGATATTTATTTTGAATGTCAGATTTTGTAAATGTGTTTTAAAATTATTATGTTTATATGTGTTCATGTCAATAAATGTACAGTTGTTATATTTCCTACTCAACATATGAAGATCGTTATTTAGTTTTTTTACATTTAGATTTCGATTTGTCTTTACATTTATTAGGAGACACTTACAGTTCTTGTATTTAACTAGAAAATTGCATACATTACTATATAAAAGATATGGATCATTATCATTAGAGCCTACAGATAAAATTATTACATCGTCTTCATTCATATTCTCAGGAATTACATTGAAATTCGTCATAATATCCCTACTTTGTGCTTGAGATTTAATTATGCTGGTAACGTTATACACGTCGTTATATTTTCCATAGCGATATTCAAGTATTTTGATCGCCAAACCGCGTATTTGCTGATCTCCTAGAATAAAGATGTTTCTCTTCCTTGGTTGGTTTGTTTCTGCAAGTTTTTCCTTGTTTTCGGAGTTCCCTGCATTAAGTCCTTCAAAGCTTTGATTTACTACCGATGATGATTTTGATTCATAGATTTCCTTCCGTTTCTTGCGTTGCTTAATACTCGAGCTACATATTTGTTTTAATTGGTTAATTTTGGCGTCTCTTGCAGCAATTTTATCTGTTAAGTCAGTATTTTGTTGAAGTAGGTTTTCTATTTCCCTTTCCGCTATAGCCAATCTTGATTGTAGATTCATATCCTTAATTCTTTCAAATCATATACCGTAATAGTTGATAACTCTGGACAGCTTCTATTAAGTCTTGTATTACAGTTGTCTTCATAATCCTCATCTTCCAAGGAATTTTCAGCCAGTGATTCAAATGAGTTTGACGTTGAGATATTTATAACGCACTTATTTCTTATAGTGACATTCTCATCACATGGAGTGGATGCGGTTATTCCAGAACTTGAGGAATGTGGTTTTGTGGTACAACAAGAAAGGCATTTCCATCGCCTTTTATGTTCGTCATTCATAAGGAAAAATCTCTTTTCAGCTCCTGCACAATCGATATCGTAACTGGTATTGCATGAGGCACATATTAAAAATTGCTTTCTTGGAAGTTGCTTTGAGCACTTTCCACATTTTCCAGTCATTTTGCAAAATTGTTTAAGAGATGTACAGAAAAAAATATACAAAAAACAAACAAAAAGAAGAAAAGAAAAAAAACTCGGTACGCGAGATTCGAACTCACAATCTCACTAGTTACGTGTCTTACAAGTTCGTTACTTAGACCGCCAGGCTGCACTTGCTATTAGCACAAAGGGTGAAAAATGCATACAGCTTGGTGTAGTACATATTGTCGGAGTAATTTCTTGTGACCATATAAGGCAATAACGTTCGCACTCGTTCAATTGATGAGTCACACGCTAACACGACACAGTGTAACGGCAGTTTATTTTGATTCTTTATCACCTTTGTACTGTTTTTAAATCACTTATTTACACGAAGTATCTTCTGTAAATTTAACACAGTTTCCTCAATTTTGTAAACGAGTTGGTGGATATAGATTTTAAAAGAAAATTTGCACTTTTATAACGTAAATTATTATACCAATACGGAGCGATACGTGTTTACGCGCGCACGGGGAAGTGTTGACTCTATTGCCAACAAAAATTTTACCATCTGACAAAGTAACTGCATTTTTAGACCACCTTAACTCCATAAACTCTAAAATACAATTCACAATGAAGTTAGAGGCAAATAATTCTTTAACCTTCCTAGATGTTTTAGTCATCCGAAATCCTGATAATACTATTGGTCACACTGTGTGTAGGAAAAGGACCCATACCAACCGATATATAAATGGTGAATCTCACCATCATCTTTCAAAGTTAGCTACCGTGGGTAAATCTTGGTAAATTTTGTGACAGAAACTTCTGGCCGCCGAGCTTCAGCACGTCAAGGAAGTATTGCAAAACAACAAGCTTCGGGTTCCGCGCCTAAGTCACAGTGAATGAATGAAGCCGGCCACAGTCGAGCGAGCGCCTGCTATACTACCGTATGTCAGAGGAGTCGCAGCCAAGATTGGCTGCATCTTGAAGCGAGCGTCCATTAAAACATACTACAAGCCGCCGAAGAAGATTAGTTATAGATCAGAAGATAAGTCGGTTGTTTTGTGGTAGAGTCATGCTGCAGCTATATAAATTGTATAGTTGTAGCACGAATGGGTCGGTTCGACCGGGGAAGGACCACGCTCTCACAGAATACCAGCGTCAAATAGCAGCTTAATGCTGCTGTGTTTCGTATGGTGCGTGTAGAGAACCGGAGACCATTTTTACTGGAAAAAGAGGCATTCCATCTTAGTCCTCAAGGCTGACAACGCATCTGCATTTTGATTCGCAAACGAAGGTAGATGTAGATGTCGATGGGCTACAGCAACCACTTACCATCAAATGTACTGTGTGCTCGCTTGTCACCCTTTTCCTTTAAAAAAAACCATCTGGTTGCGCGGAAAACCATTCGTATTTATTTTATTTGACGGTAGGTTGCCAAATCGTTTATCCCTTTCCAAAACGATATCATTCGTACCCTCCTATCGACACATGGGGGGGTGGGGTGGGAGGGGAAAGAAGATGATTCTAGAACATCACGTAATCATCGGAACCGAGGATATATAAGACACGCGCGACCGACGCGTGGCCTCTTCCCGCCGCGCTCGTTGTTGGAAACACATCATTAGTAGAAACCGCTTTAGCCTGGAAGCAGTCGAGCTCCAGGAAGCCCGCCTCACCTCGTGTGAGATATAGTCGCGCACCGCCTCTCTCCGGAGTATTCCAGAAGTCGCAGTTATAGTGCTCGACCGCATAGAAGAAACATCCCGGTGAGTCAATATCCATTATTTTTGCCTGCTTGATATAATCGCTTTAACCCGTTCCAATTTTGTGTTTTCCTAATCAAGCAGGATTCCTTTCATCGATTTGGCATAATAGTTCGTTTTTTTTTAAGAAGAGCGAGTGCATTGTACCGCATATACAAGTGTAGAAGCATTAGTAGATACAGTCCACTTAGATTAATAATTCGCGCAATAGGTTTAAGGTTCGACCGGGGAACTAGACTTCGGCAGCCTTAAACACGTGGCTCCACCATTTTATGGTCATTTCGGGCAGGATTTGGATTGGTGTTTAGTGGTTATCCAACCATTTTCTGGTCGAATAATTAGTGTTCGTAAATAGTGTAAATAGTGTTCGTTTAAATTTTGATTAGGTACTCGCAAACAGAATTGTTTATTTCATAGCGCTCGTATTTGGTTACATTTAAGGTTTAAAATTGAAACAGTGTGATAGCAACCGTTTGGTACGATTACCCGACAATCTTTATAAAAACACTGAGTTAGCAAGCAACGTGTCGCCTCGACTGTAGCAGGTTTTCGATTTAATTACGTAATACGGCATACCGAGCGTCCATCATCCATCGTTTATGCGTGTGAGATTAATCGTGATTAATTACTTTGTTATAATAATTTAAAATGGTAGTTAGTGGAAGTGAATTTAAAATTAAAACGCTTTATGCCAAGAGAGACGTACTTTTTTCACGTATACAAAACATTAGCGATCATATAAAGAACATTAATGTAGAAACGGTGCGGGAAATTTTTCTGAATGAAATTGAAACGGTGGATTCTTTGCGGACGGATTACGAAAGAATATTAGACCAAATTAATCATTTGGAATTACAAATCGACCCGAAATACATAGTGAACTACCAACCGCTGCTGGCATTCTAAGATATGTTGTGTCGCGTGAAAAGAACGGCAAAACTCCTACAATCTCAAAACGAAGCAAAGCCGGAATTGCAGGTACGTCCTCGTGACTCAATTAGGTTGCCGCCAATAGATATTCCGGTATTCAATGGTGATATTAAGACGTGGCCCTTCTTCTTCAGTAGTTTTCAAAACAATATACACAATAACCCATCGTTATCGGACGCTGAAAAATTATATTACTTAATTAGTAGACTTAGTGGCAGAGCACAGTCGATCTGCTCTGGTTTTACACCTACAGCAAAAAATTACTTATTAATATTCGAAACGCTTAAAACTAAATATGAAGATAGGAGAATGTTAGCTTCCGAATATTTGAACCAGATTTTCGATCTTAAACCTATATCATCCGCGAACATCAACGGCTTAGAGCAGTTTCTAGATAAATTTGTGGCATCGGTGGCTGCACTTAAGAATTTAAAATTTAATGACCTTATGGACGTGGTGTTTCTCCATATTGCACTAAAGAAATTAGACCCCGACACCGTGCGTGCGTTTGAAATGGAGCATCGTAGCTCGGAGATGTCTTCCTTTCATTCATTAGCATCGTTCGTGCGAGATCAAATAAAGGTGATGCAGCGCTCTCCGAACGTTAAACAGGAGATTAAAAGGTGCGTCGACCGTAGACAGACTCAACCATCTAAAATAGCAGGGTTGTTAACTTATGTAACCACTACGTCAACATCACTTCAGCATACTTGTATCGTATGTAAAGATAAACACGGTAATGTATATAATTGTGCGACTTTTCGTAAATATTCACCAAGCGAACGTTATAAATTAGTAAAGACAAACAACCTATGTTTGAACTGCTTAAGTGATAAGCATTTAGTTGCAAAATGCAATTCGAGTTCCGTATGTAGCAAGTGCGCCAGGAAACATCACACGCTATTACATTTTGAAAATAGCAACATAGCGGCGTCAAGTAAAGCGGACAAGGAATTCACCCCTACTAAGGTCAACGATTCTAGCGGTCGACCTGGTGATGTCGCTCTGTGCTCATTGGCAAATATGGGAGCACAACCTCCTTCAACCGTGTTACTGGGTACGGCGCGTATTTTGGTTAGGGATTCGCGTGGGAACGAACAAAGCGTCCGTGCACTGCTGGACAGCGGAGCCCAAAATAGCTTTATAACGCGACAATATTGTCAGGGCTTAGGCTTAGTAATAAATAGGTCACTTTCATGTCCTGTAGTTAAAGGCATCGGAGGTACTAGTAAAGCTACCCAGGGATATATTAATTTAAAATTTTATTCTCGGATAGATCGTAATGTTAACTTTGATATAAATGCACTAGTAGTAGATAGGGTCACTGAACGGTTGCCAACCGTTTCGGTTGACACCTCGGCAATGATTGAGTTTAAAAATTTGATTCTAGCGGACGACACTTACGCCGTTCCTGGAAACATAGACATGCTCATTGGAGTATCGCTTTTTCCTCATCTTTTGTTAAACAATAAGGTCAGGGGCAACTCCTCGCATACCGCGCCTTACGCACTAGAAACCGTATTGGGCTATGTTATCATTGGCTCCGCCCCCATCATAGATAGTATTTCGGCAACCTCTTATTGTGGTATGGCTGTCGAACCGCTCGAGTCGTTAGTCCGCAAATTTTGGGAGATGGAGGTGGTGAACGTCCCACCCATATCTAGCTCAGATGACAGATTATGCGAGGAAATTTACGTCCGCACGACCGTTCTTTTCTTTTTTGCGCCCGATGCAATTAAAGGGCTACCCTATACGTAGGGAGGCGGAAAATGCATTACGCATACCACGATAGCCGGTCTATCGTGGTTATGAGGGGCTCACTGTCCTACCGGGGACCCTAAGTGATACCCTCTAAAAACCGCCTTTGGGGACAGGCAACCGGCTGATTAAGCTCTATTGTGCCTTATCATGAGCGACCCTCTTTTGGGAAAAGAGGGCGCAGGTGGCTAAGTGTCGCTGAGGGAGTGCCTACGAAGGCAAATTAATGTTAGATATTACAATAATTTTATTTACTTAGAGTTGGCCTGAGCCGCCAGGAGACAGTTCAGGTCGTTTGAAAGTTTATTAGGCGGGTCCGAGAGAGAGTTTCTCGGCCTGCGGACACGATAGCGAGAGGGGGGATGGGACTGCATAAGAAGCTGCCTCACGAATTAAATGGTTTGGGTGCGACTCTGAGGCTTTGAAGAAGTTCTCAGAGAGTTTTTTAAAAAATTGTTGAATTGTTGGGAGCTCTAAGTCCCGATGAAGGTCGGCATTACGGACGTACCAAGGTGCGTTCGCAGCTCGACGACAGAAGAGGTTCTGAACTATTTGGAGTTCATTTAAAATATTAGGGTTTGCGTGGGC